CTTGTCATATTCATCCGGCATTTTAGAAAACGTCATGATGATAGGATAAAAGAACTGGAAAAACAGCAGGAGAATTGCCGGGAACAGATAAGCAAATTACAACAAAAACTTCAACAAGAACACACGAAAGCAGCACTAAAGGCTTAATGCAACAGGATACACAAAGTTATGTGAATGATAAAACTCTAGAATTTTCTTTATTTTTTATGCTGATTAAGAGTATAATCTGCATTCAGTCTAGAAAACCCTCATGAGTCTGCTAGTGTCATCTTTATTTTTCGTATTTGTAGCGGAGAAAAACCTACTCGGGAATTTGGTTTTTTGATTACTACAACCTTTCGATGGAAAAAATTATCTTGTCAGCATTTTACCGCTGGAAGCTAGAATTGTTTCGAAAATTAGTGGTTGTGTGGACCTAATCTCCATGCGTATTGTATGTAGTTTTTGAATCAAATGGAGGGAGACTTGGGGACGATTTCCTCCAACAATTAAGAGAAAACACCTAGATAGCTGTTGTATCCTAGCTTGAAACATCGTAGCTCCCCCACGATCCCACATAAAATGAAGTCTTGGATTATTAGCTTTCTTCGTAACCACAATACTTTCAAGCCACTACTCGAGAATCCGGCACTATACCTTATTGGCTTTCGTCAATATGTAATATGCTATAATCCTCTGATTACTGCTTTAACAATTTCGACCTGGTTAGCTCCGTAGGTGTTAACTTTTCATTAGAAAATTTGAAAATGTACCTCAGAACTAGTAAACAAAAGATATTGGATTGTCATTTAACTAAATAGATTTGAATTCAAGAAATGATAAACTCTCAAGATTTACTTGAAGTATAAAAACGACAATAAAACTAGTGTACTTTATTCAGTTCCGCAACTATTATTTAGTGAGCAGATAGAAGGGAAAACAAACATAAATAATGTGATCATATATTGTGTGATTAACAGACCAAATGCGACAAAAAATACCTTAGGCATCATCCTATTTGGGTTACTAATTTTATGTCGTGGGGGATTTTTATTCTCATCGTGTATTAGAATGTTTTGTGTTACTAATGTCTGGTTCTTGATCAGATGGGCCGACAATGGTATATAGTTACAACCTAGCTTACCCAAGCTATAGCAAACAAGTTTTACAGTTGGTGCTTTTGAATAATGTCATAAATTTGTTGCGTCCATATGACTCGCGGATACCGTAAGCCGTTATTATCATGGACATTCCTATGCTCATTGTAATTCACTTTTTGATAGTATACTACCTAATATGAATAGTTTCCAAGTTTTTTTGTACATTCACCTCAACCCTAATATTGTGACTTCAATTTCGACATCCATAAGTGTAAAAGGTTAATTTTGCATTGAGTGATTAGCACTTGTGGAAAAATTCAACAGAAACTACCCCAGCTAGTAATACTCGTTAAAAATGTAAGCAATAAATCGTAGCCAAAAGCTTCCCAATTAATAACACTTGAAGGTGCCCCAAAACGTTTTTTCTGTCCATGTAACTAGGAGTGGTATGGCGGTGAGCGAATGTGTGGTGGGTTGTCAGTGGCAGAATCATTGGAGATGATTCCAGGCAAGTTGCGATCCGTTATCTGATACTAGTGTCCAATATCATATTCCGGGAAGGAGTCTCCGTCAATATCTAAAGAGTCTTACGTGTTGTTATTAGGACTAGAAGAACAATGCACCGATGAGGATGTGATGCCATTGATTAAGCCTCTTGAATTTGTGTCAAATCGACCATAGGACTGGGTCCTCTCCATTATTGAGTTTCGCTGTTTGTTAACACACCGTAGTCGTTCGCAAGTCCAAAACGTGACTTATGAACAGCCAGTAGGCAAAACTAGCGATGAACTTCATACAAATTTCACCCTGGTGACCGCTGTGTAAATGTAGGAATTGAGGATGGCGGGACTGTAATGCCATCTACAACAAACTCATATAATCTCTTGTGATGTAATCCGAACAGCTACATTTCTGTGTGGGCGATAAAGTTTGTACATTCAATACCCTAGGAGATTGAGTTATTAGTGTGGGGCTCGACTGCGCAAGTAGATACTGTTCACTAATTCGAAATAAAATTGTTGCTAGAAGCTACCACGAATACCAAAAACGTCTGATGATCATAATAAAGTGCTAGTTTCGGTTAGCCGCAATCGTAAGATCGTTTGTATTTACTTGAGTGATGTGGGAGCAACGGTACTTTATTATTATTGACAATTGTCAGTCGTTTTAAATCTGTAGCAGAAAGAAATAAGGCTTATTGAACATCTAATCGTCTTACAAAGTCCGTAGTTCTTCTTTATCATCTTACTCTACTGATGTGGAAGTGAAAACATTCGTCCTGGTTTCTATCTTAATTATAACTAGCTGACCTATAGGTTCAGACAAATCGTATGTATTATCCCTCGAAAATAGGACGTTCCATAAATTTTGTCCTTCTAGTCAATTTAGTTAGGTCCGTCGAATACTATTTAACTCTGTCATGGCCCAAGTAATCTAATAAATATACGCTTAATATCTCAGTGTACATCGTACCTTGATTACGGCTCAGATTAGTTACGAGTTGTTGAATAATTAGTGATGAGATCGATGAAGTTATGGTTTATTCGAAAATTGATTGATAGTCCACGTAAAAAATTACGTAAAATAATTTTACTAAGATATAATTATTTTATTTTTGTTGTTCAGTCCACATATTTCTGTCATTATCTCACACGGACTGAGTCGTGTATGTTATGTGGTTTCTAAATAGGAAAATTATGTTACGGTTTGTTAAAGTAAACTCAATTGCCGACAATTAACTTAAATATTACGCGTCTTTATCTAAAACACATCATTTGTGTAACTATTTACAAAACAAAATATTTTTTACCAAACAACCCAATGGTCACGTCGATTGACATGAATGTAAGTCTTAGCTCCTTTATTTGAATAGATTTGATAATATTTACATTGCCAAAATGCCAGTGTACGTTTGTATGACACAAAATAATAAGTCTAAGCACATGATTAAACAATTAAAGACAGATAAAAAAATACGAATTGTCTGTACGTCTATTATACTGACATAAATCACATGTTTATTTACACTGACTATGAAAAAACAACTACAGAAATTTGGAACAGAACAACAAGTCTCATGAATATTTAATGGGAAGTAGTGACATGTTGGGTCAGAAAATGTTTTTTCTGGGTTTTTATGGTTTCCAAGCCGATGTGAATACGTGATAAGTGTATATGTAAATTATTTACGTATGTATTTCATAGCGAACATTATTATGAAAATATTAAACAAAGTTGATAATCTGAAATCAGACATTTACAAAATTCTCGTGTACTTTATAGTTCAGAAGAAACTCATCATAACAATCGCATACACCACTTGGTCAATTTCCATCACACACTACCAGTGTACGTTCTCGTACATATGTGTGCTGACCTAAGTTGTCATATCGCGTTAGCATGACAAGAAGATAACAGAAAAAAGATAAGATCTCTTTGTCATAATTTAACAAGCTTCTTAATACACCAAGAGTAACGTAAATCAATAAAAGTTAGAACAAATGCAACTTTCCCAAGTTATCTAGCTGTACAATCGTATATATCTGAAAACGTTTTTGTTAAAGTACTAATTCCGTGAGGAAATGAGAACACGAATAACCAAGATGACGTAATAGAAAGATTATAATACTAGACTACATGTTGCGAATAATAACATTAGATTTAGTGAATATCATAAGATGATTAAAATGTTTTTGTTACAATAATTAAAGGTCATAGAGGTGTAAAATAAATAAAGTGATATGATGAGCATTTATGGATAAAATAATGAGAATATATGACATAAGTAAAGGGGAATGCAGGAATAATGATAAAATAATATTAAGGCAGGAAATCTAGTTGTTTCGTCCCAAGGGAAAACCTCTATATAAATCTGGGATTTAAGGAGGATTAAACATCTGACGAAATCAAAGATCGCCTAGCGACAGCGATTAAAATAATATTTAATGTGTAAAAATTGCGAATAAACTTCACTAGTAGTAACTTATTTTCCGTATCCATAAAAGATAAGCTTCCGCGTCTGGTTACTTCCATGTGCATCTACCAATTCACATGCACTTGTGGAGCAACGTACATTGGCAGTAGCCAGCACTCGCTTTCAACTCAGATACGAGAACACGTTCCAGTTTGGTTCTACAAGGGTGAAAGGAAAGCAGTTACGAGATCTGTATTTGAACACCTAATCGACTGTAATCATTCTACGGATTTTAAGGCTGTCTATATGATTCGTTCAAATCTACCTACATTTTTTCGTATCCAACTCCTAAAAAACGGCCGAAGCTCTTACTGTCCATGAGCTCAAACCAGAACTATGTGTACAAAAGAAGTACGTCCTATCGTTATCGTTACCTTGACATTAATTATTATCATTATTACTGCATTCCCCTTTACTTATGTCATATATTCTCATTATTTTATCCATAAATGCTCATCATATCACTTTATTTATTTTACACCTCTATGACCTTTAATTATTGTAACAAAAACATTTTAATCATCTTATGATATTCACTAAATCTAATGTTATTATTCGCAACATGTAGTCTAGTATTATAATCTTTCTATTACGTCATCTTGGTTATTCGTGTTCTCATTTCCTCACGGAATTAGTACTTTAACAAAAAAATTTTCAGATATATACGATTGTACAGCTTGATAATAAATTCTTTGAAAAGAGAAAAAATCGCCCTTTGCGGTAGGCAGTGGTTGGGCATACGTAATATCAGGAATGTCGGTCAGTTCTAAAATGACTCAGGTACACCTGACGATATAAACACCGGATTATTGAAGGATAAAGTAATTTTATGACTGGAGCAAATACCAGACTGGTCAATCTATGTTGACGTTTAGTGTTGATGAGATTATATATATCAAGTATTCTAGAAAAGTAAATAAATTTAATGTTATTTACAGGCAAATAACTTTGGACAATGAATGATATATTATATTATATACGTGCAAATACATATGTTTATACATACAAGGATTTACACAGGTACTTTATTGTACGTAATACAACTTAAACAGACGTGAAAAAAAGTTCGATGAAAACATCTATAAGTCAATGATTTTACAAAAAACGTTTTCTTATACTGCTCATCGTCACATAATGATGGCATGCTATGTGTTTGTGTTGGTAAGTAGATAGTACTTAAGAGAATCACTTATTTATCTAAAGTAGTTTAATAATGAATAGGATAGTTGATGGTTATTTTAGTGCGATTTCAGAAGGAAGACAACATAAGGCATTCAAATGATTAGAAGCTAGTCTGGTTATATATAATAGTGTAGTATTACTGTAGATATTTCACAAATGAGCGATTGTACTACCTATTATGATAGTAAGGAAGTGGATAGAGTTAAAGATGCCTTGCTAATAAACCTATTATTTTGTTATTCAAATTTTTATTCATTCCAAATAACAGAATGGAAATACACGTATGGTTTTATCGTTATAATGACAACTGGTTAAATGAGCTGAAATCTTTGATCTAGCTGATGCACCATGTGCAGATCTCCATCCTTTGATAGATTCAGCACGTTGTGGAAAAGACCACAAAAATCCTGTAATACACCAGGAGAATAAATCTGATGATCTGTGATGAACTTTATCCCATTGTGGTGTGACAATTAACCTTGCACAAAGAATATTTTTATATACGGTAGATAATCGGTTAGAAACTTTAGATAAACAAAGTAAAGACATATCATCTAAGAAAAAAGATAAGTAAATTAAAAGTTCTGCAGGCAACTGATCAAAATTAAAACATTCGCTATTTGTTAGTTTTGAATGATGAGTAAGTATATTATGTTGATTAGTTTCTGATTCATACCGCGTTGTAAATGTAGCAAGAGTTGGATTATACAATAAATGATTATATTCACTATTAGGACGAAGATTAACTACAGCATATTTACAACCTAAAAAAGACAATGGACAACGAAGTTCAATCCATCCGTCTAATTGCGCTTGTATATTACTATGCAACTGATAGTGTGATCCATAATTTGTTCTTTGAACTGTACAACCACAAATATATCCTGGCTATGAATGGATAGAAATTGATTTGTTAGAATATATATGATAACATGTATAATCAACAAAATGCACAAGAGAAAAATGAATTATATATATATATAAACAATTTAAACTGAATACTTTAACGAAAGAGTTTGAAAATTTCGACCGCATGGTGATCTCGGGGATTAATAGCATTCGATTGATACACATGTTGGGACGAGACAAACTAGAGAGAATGACAAACTTCGAATGATTTTCTGGGGATGTCACTGTTCAAATTTTCTAACGTGTATTTTACTGAAACTTATGTGATATTTATATTCTAACTTCAAACTTCCACATGACTCATTAATTATTGTCATATCTTCTTCTATTCTCATATCATTTTAAATTAATTGTATGACCATTATTCCAAATTTATTTCTAAAATGCTTATATTTGGTACATATTGTAACCTCATATTTATGAGGTGTTACAACCCAATAATTCATGTACTCAATTGTGTAAATTTTCGAGCCAGATAGAGATTAGATCAGCTGTCTTATTCTCGTCTTTTAATTGACGCTCGTAGGAAAAAGAATTATGTTAAGCTAATAAGCGTTTGGATATCAGCTTACATAGTTGGAACATTGGTGTGATAGTTTACAAGGTAAAGTCGATTATAAAGAGTCTAAATTATTTCGACGTTTACTGTTTGTTTTTAGTATTGTCCGAGCTTAACTTCATTAACGTGTAAATAATTTAGAGATTTGATGTTATAGGCTTAAGTTAATTAAGCCAGATGTGTACTAGTCTATGTCCCAATAACTGATGGTCGAGTGTTTGCATTGCAACGTTCTAAATCCTACTGTTCAGCCAATTTCAGAGGCAGTTTGAAGTTGTAACAAGAGGTAAAGTGTTTGATAAGCGGATAAACTAGTTTTATGGTACTGTATTTTATGAAAAATGCCCATAACTTCATAAGCTATTGTCAAACTTGGATGACTAGTTAAAAACTGACTAAATATAATAATACCCGGAATCAAAATGTTTAATTGTAATTATACCGAACCCAAGCACACGACAACTCTCTTCAAAACAATTGTAGTAGCATTCAAAGGAGCAAAATTTTGAAAACATACTACAGATGTGGATTAATATAATTAGACGGCATAAACCTCATATTAAGTGTACAATAAACACACACACACAGTAAGTATGATGCATACATAATTTTGTAAACTCAGAAGTCAGCAAATAATGTAATGGCAATCAAAACATGTACATATATATATGACAAACTGTGTATAGATAAAAAAATCCTATTGTTAGGTGATAAGCTTATTCGTAAGGTGTGAATTCTATAGTGAATATTAGTTCCCTTGAAATTGTAGGTACAACATACTGGCGATTCCCAATCGGTGTGGAAATCGAGTACAAGGTTTTTTGCTAAATATCTTTAACAACATGAAGAATGCTAAACAGTAGGAATATAAAACTTGATATTCAAAACACTAGTAACATCGTCATTATCTCAAAATAGCTTTCTCTTGATGTATACTTCGTCACCTGTACTATGTATCATTCGGTTCGGATACAAACTGTATTCTGCTTGTCTTTTATTTATTTCAGATTTTTGGCAATTTTTTTTACATATCCCAGAGTTATTTTCAGGTACATAGTATGTGACTGGAGTGTGTTTTTTGGAAAGATCATGTGGTACATATACATGTGCATATTGTTTACTAGGCGTCTCATTTCGCTGAAGAAAACAACACAATTTCTTTCTGGTCGTATAAAATAAAATGTTAAAAATATTTTATTGGGAAAATATAATTTACGCCAGTAATATCGTCGTGAAATTGTACTAACAAATTAACTCTGTTACTTTTTGCAACATGTTTAACATAAGAACTATCGACAACAATCAATGCACTTACATGATCACACATGTAGGATGATAATGGTGATTCTACAAAACCGCTGCTTAGTGTTTTATAAACTTGTTCCTCATTGATCAATTTTAATACATTGGTTATATGACCATCAGTTTGATTTGTAAAAGTTCGCTGATTGGTATCTGTACATCAAATATAATAAAACGTGTATACACGGACATGAAGTGTATATACGAAAAGTTTAAAAAAATCTAAGTGTTATAAACAGAACAGTAATTGGTACAAAACAGCATTCATTCAGGTTCCTACAGAATAAAACAATATAGCGATAATATTGAAGTGGAGCATAAAATAATATGATGAACTGACAAATAAATTATGATTTAAACGAATATGCGTAATAGTTGAGATGGGATAGAAGAAAATGAATATAAACTCTTAAGAAAGTTAAAGACATTTTGGTTAAGACTATCTGACGACACCATACCAAGAACTGTTCTCGCCCATATGAGGTCTTAGAAAATTGTTGATAATTACACAGATTGCCTAATCTTGTGCTGAAATTTCAGCCATTGATGTCAATAATAGGTATCACTGGTGTGTAATGAGGTTACAATTTTAAATGAGTAGAAGAGAGTAGAGTAGAAGATATTCGTAAGTTACTAGTGTTTGACCAAAGATGCCTTAGAAATATTGCTGGTATCTGCTGGGATCACCGGGTAAGTAATAGTGAGGTTAGACGCAGGGTATTAGGGAATGATGGAAAATCAGTTGATGAGGTTATGAAACTTCATCGACTGAGATGGTTGAGCCACGTGCTGCGTATGCCTGAACACCGATTACCACGACGCGCAATGCTAACCGGTGTTAGCGATAATTGGAAGAAAGTTAGGGGTGGCCAAACCAAAACGTGGCATCAGTGCTTGAAGTCACTAACTTCTGGTTTGAGCCATGTTGATAGATGCAGACTACATGGTTGGGGTTTGCATGACTATCGTAACCAATGGTTGGAGACTCTTATATGCAATCTTTCTTCTATATATTACCACCACTGACTTTTATGAATCCGGTGTTCATCTTGTTGTGCTAATGAGGTGTGGCAACTTGGACCGATGAATATATGTGCCTGGTCCTACGTTGCAGCTGACTGACTGACTGAGTAAGAAAAACGAAGTTTATATTTAACAGGTTTTGTAGATGAAGAAATATGTATTAATTCACAGATAAAGTCACAATTTTGTAGACCAAATGAAGAGAATGCAGAAATTTTTGATGACCAGTCCATGATAATTTTAGAGGAGAGAAGTTACTAGGAGATTAGTTGTACGTGCTGATGTTGGAAGGATCCTTACAGAAATATCCTAATCTTATTAACGGAAAAGTAACTAGTATACAGTCATTAAAACCTTAATTTACGACCTATAATTCAACTAGTTGTGGAGCATATTATGGGATTTATTTAAATACGAAATTATCCATGTTAGAGAGTGTATTAATGAATTAGTAGTATATGAGAACGTGATATAATATGCCGAATACTATGTGAAGTAGCAATAATCAAAGTGAAATTTACAAAGTTAGTTAACTAGTGATAAACAGTAGTGGAAAATCAATAGAGAAATTATGAGTAGAAAAATGAGATTAAAATAACTTACCAAAATCGACCCCCAACAGAGGTGAATTAATTGGTCGGTAAACATATGAATTACAAGAAGCATAATGAATAATCGGATTCACAGTACAGGTTACTGGAGAGGTAGACTTTTTCTGTGTTTGCCTAAGTTGAAATATTAAATTTAAAAAAAAATACAACTACAAAAAATCCAAGGAAAAAGTGATACAAAATAACTGTAATCACGTGCACATAAGTATGAATGAACCTTTTAAAAAAATGCATAGACTAATTACATTTCCAAAAGTTGCTATCACGTTTATTCCGAATGTCTATAAATGTTCTGAAACGTTCCTACGAATAGACTGAGGGAATTTACAGGTCTGTGGGGTTTTGAAAACTAGATAGTAGTATTACTAGACTTAAAAAAGAATGTAGCCGATAAATAGTAGAAAACCATCTGTAGATGGATAGCATTAGGATTGTTTTTAAAACAAGCACACCAAAAAGTCATATTAGCAACCATTTTTAGTTACCAGTATAGGATTATGGAGATTATTGAATTTTATTGGAACCACGAACTGATGTTTATCTAACTTAGATCGATTTGTGATTTGAATAAAACTATTTTATAGAATTTATCATAGAGTACTACGATCAGAACTTCATTATTTCGGGTTTTTTGTCATATATCTTGTTAATTTGATTTCGCTATGGTGTAGTATACAGCCTCTGCCAGGGAAGTCCTACTCACTGCCTTCACGTGGCGGGGGTGTTGTTTACGAAAATGAGAGGACGAAAAGCGAACGTCCGGCGCTATAACCGGATCCCAATTCTATGGTGCACATGGGCTCCAGTATCCTGAAGGAACAAATGGCGTATGAACCAACTTTTGGTCACCGGCTTCCATGGGACTGCATCTCCTCACGATGCTCCACTGCCTTGTGGGTTAGACCTTTAGGTCAAAGGCTCGGGGTGTGGCCCCCTAAGAAAACCACCTGCTTCGGTTTGGGCACCCGGGCAGTATCTCAGCCCACACACCAAAACATGATGAAATATTCGCTTACGGAAAATATTCGTTCTTCTCTGACTAACATTGAAATGACTGATACTATTATTATTATTATTATTATTATTATTATTATTATTATTACTTACTACGTCATTTACTCACTATCTCCTATTTCTACTTTTTGTATCCGTTTCGACCCAGACAGCAGCTCGCCTATGGTAAAAATTCAGCTTTATCTAAACGTTCTCGAGTCACTGCCTGGTTTGAAAATTGTATGTTACCATCGAATACGAGTACTGAAGCAGTCTTTCTGAAACCACGCGCACCATTCAAACTGGCTGCCTTTAACGTTCGCACACTTATGCAGGTCGGACAACAGATAGGGCTGGCAATGTCTTTGGAAAGTCTTAATATTGATGTGTGTTGTCTATCCGAGACCCGTATTCAAGACTCTGGTGAAGTACTACAAGTTCGCTCTCCATCTGTCGCTCCAAAAAGCTTGTTTTACGTGCGTTTATCCGGGGACCCTGTGGCATCTTCGTCTGGTCTTGCTGGCGTTGGTGTCGCACTAAGCGCAAGAGCTGAGGCAGCACTAGTCGACTGGATCCCCATTAACAGTCGGTTATGTGCTGTTAGATTAGAAAGTACCATCAGAGTGAGAAGAAATCGGCGTGAGAAACGATGTCTTTTCGTCATCTCCGCCTATGCCCCGACAGATTGCAGCCCGGATGCAATCAAGGATGAGTTCTACCACCAGTTATCTGTTCTTCTCCAGAAAGTGCGTTCGACAGATATTGTAGTACTAGCTGGAGACTTGAATGCTCAGGTCGGGCGTCTAGGCACAGAAGAGAGTCGTTTAGGTGGCCGATGGGGACTCGTTGGTCGCAGGACAGATAACGGGGAACGTCTACTGCAACTATGCACAGACCACAACCTGTTTCTGGCTAGCACTAACTTTCGGCACAGTCATCGCCGATGTGCCACCTGGCGTCCCCCTTCTGCATCTCAAGCCTGGACTCAGATTGATCACATCGCGATCAGCTACCGCTGGCGCGGTTGTGTACAAGACTGCCGCTCCTTTTGGAGTACCTATCTGGAATCTGATCATGCTCTGGTCTGCGCCAATCTTACCTTACTTTTCAGTGGACAACGAAGTGACCGCCACCACAGGATTGATGTTAGCAAGCTTGCTGCAACTTCTGTTGCTAGTAAGTACCGAACCGAGCTAGCTTCTAGGCTAGCCACTATTCCACCGAAAAGTATAGATGAGCATTGGTTGCAATTGCATGACGCCATGAAAATGGCGGGTCAAGTCAGCTGTGGGATTGCGAAACGTCCCGCTTACAAGCACTGGGTTTCTTCTGGTTCCTTACAACTGATTGAAGCCCGTCGGTCTACTCCGGGTGACCGTGAGTTTGACCACAGACGAAGGTTGTTACGTAATGAAATCGGGCAAAGCTTGCGTAAGGACCGAGAAACCTGGTGGTCGGAGCGTGCCAGTGAGTTGGAAGCAGCAGCTGCATCTGGTAATTACCGGAAGCTCTTCCAACTCATCCGAGCCACTGGCAGCAAGAAGTCTGGTGTGAGCGAAACAATCTGCGAGGATGACGGAACGCCAATCACTAACATCCATCGACGTCTTGGACGATGGGCAGAATTCTTTGAAGGGCAGTTCAACTGGCCTGCTGCTCCGGCAACATCGGTCAGACTGTCCTGCCCTCCTTGGCCGGTGACGACTGATCCACCAAATGAGGCGGAAGTCCGCAAGGAACTCCAACTCTTGAAACGTTACAAATCACCAGGCCCAGACGACTTACCCCCGGCTCTTTTTAAAGATGGTGGTGACTTTCTGACTAAAGGACTGACGACGTTGTTTACAAAGATCTGGGAACTAGAGAGTGTACCAACGTCATGGAATGAGTCGATAGTTGTCCCTATCTTTAAAAAGGGTTCACGTTGTTCCTGTAACAACTATCGGGGGATAAGTCTACTTCCGATTGCGTCCAAGCTATTGGCTTCCGTCATACTTCGTAGGTTGTTCAGAACCCGAGAAGGATTGACTCGCGAGGAGCAGGCTGGGTTTCGTTCTGGTCGAGGATGTATTGATCATATCTTCACCCTCCGCCAAGTGTTAGAACACCGCCATACTTATCAAAGGCCAACAATCGTAGTGTTTCTTGATATCAAGGCTGCTTTCGATTCGTTGGACAGAACTGTTCTCTGGGATTGTCTATTGAAGAAGGGTGTGCCTGAGAAGTTTATTAACATCCTAAAAGCCTTATATACAAACACCTCAGGTAGAGTGAGGGCATACAACCACCTTTCTCCACTATTCCATTCAAGCAGTGGAGTTAGGCAGGGTTGCCCAATCTCACCATTCCTCTTCAACTTTGCCATCGATGACATTCTGGAAACAGCTCTGACGGATGTAAGTAATGGTGGTGTGGATCTGTTGCCTGGAGAAAGACTTCTCGACCTTGAGTATGCGGATGATATTGTCTTACTGTGCGAGAATGCCCAAGCCATGCAATCCGCACTTAATCAGTTGGCAATCAGTGTCCGTAGGTATGGTATGTGCTTTGCACCTTCGAAGTGCAAAGTACTTCTACAAGACTGGCAGGATTCTAATCCTGTACTCACTCTGGATGGTGAGCAGATTGAAGTAGTCGAGAAGTTCGTGTATCTAGGTAGCTGCATAAGTGCTGGTGGTGGCGTGAGTGATGAGATCAATGCACGTATAGTGAAAGCCAGAGCGGCTTATGCCAATCTGGGCCATCTTTGGCGCCTTCGTGATGTTAGTCTGGCTGTAAAAGGTCGGATCTACAACGCGACGGTGAGAGCAGTTTTGCTCTATGCTTGTGAAACCTGGCCTCTCCGAGTTGAGGATGTTCGACGACTCTCTGTGTTCGATCATCGTTGCCTCCGAAGGATTGCTGGCATCCAGTGGCAACACCATGTCAGTAATGCAGAGGTTCGGCATCGAGTGTTCGGTCACAGAGACGATAATGAAATTGGTGTCACCATCTTGAAACACCGACTTCGGTGGCTTGGACATGTTCTACGAATGTCGTCCCAGAGAATTCCTCGTCGTGCATTATTTGCCGACTCTGGGACTGGTTGGAAAAAGCGGAGAGGTGGTCAGTATATGACATGGTGTCGTGGTATGAAAGAAAGCTGCAAAGGGCTAGCTTATGTTGGTCCTTCACGACTCCCTGGTTGGGGTCCGAGAGATGGTGTAACGCAGTGGCTAGAGACGTTATCAGATATGGCTCAGAATAGAAGCCAGTGGCGATCCTGCTGTAACCTTCTTTTACTTTCTTCATAAAAAGGTGGTCGTATTCTTCCTTAACTGAAAGATCTGTTCTGATTGTACCTTTCCGTTTCCCCCACCATTGTTCTCTCTCTCTCTCTTCTTTTTTTTTTATAATTCCCCACGTTCATTACTTTTTTTTTTTCTTCTCTTTTCTCCTTCTCTTCTAATTATCACTGTTTTGTGTGGCGCATATATATTTGGTGCCCCCCTGTACCAATATTTATGTGTTCAAATAAATAAATAATAAACAAGGCAGTTCTACTGTATGGGGCAGAAACTTGGAGACTAACATAATTATCAGTCAGTCAATCAGCTACAAAGCAGGACCAGGAACATGTGTGCATCGGTACAAGTTGCTATACCTCATTAGCACAACAAGATGAACACTGGATTCAGAGTAGAAGACATAATTATCAAGATTGTTCAAATCATAAATTAAGTACAGAATGCATGGAATAGTAATACAGAGAAATGTTGAAGGTAACATTAACTGGAGACAATTTCTGATATATTTATGTGTATAGTCACTATTACAGTATCATGTTAAATGGTATGGATGCGAAAAATGCAGAGCAAGATAATGGATTCATGTCCCTGTTAATTAATTATGGTTATTATTACTACTCTTTGTGTTCTCCCGAATTCTAATCTTCCGAATTCTTCATGTCCCTTTCTTTTTCTTTCCAAATTTATTTCACTGGATTATACTCCTTGAATAACATCTCCAAACCCTAATCTTTCCGATTACTGCTTATACTTTTACTACCTCTACCACTACGGGATTTGAATCGACAATTGTATCTGTGTGCTAATGTGGTATGGCAACTCAAACTGATGTACATACGTACATACGAAGTTCCACGTTGTTACTGACTGACTGATTATTATCATGTATTGTATAGACAACTGGTGAGGTTATAGCTCGGTTACAGTGTGACAAAATACCATAAGCTAACTCCATTAGAGTTAGCTAACACTTAACTTAATACCCAGACACAGGTTAGCGTAAGAGTAAATGGGGAGGAAGCTACAACCAACCAAACGAAAATATGGTATGCGCGAACACAGTTGACTCTTGTAGTGGTATGGGTAAGTGAGAGTACAAAGTTGTAATGGTGCATTTCCGTTTATTGTTTATCTCCTTATAAGTGTTGAGTCTTGTCATTCCGTACTATATCACATTTGTCCCCTTCGAACTAACTTCCTTGCATTTAGTTCGCATTATTTTTAATATTACTATAACTCATCTGATTTTATTTTGTTAACTTCCACACTAACTGTGCATCATGGATTAGTATATTTGTGTCAGACCATATGTCGCCTATAACTGAGATGAAATTTGTTCACTTACAGATATATCCAAAATGGTTCATGTCAATGTGGACCACAATCTGCTTCAGTCAGATCATAAATTGTCAAATGACAAAACGTAGCGATCTAAACGTTTTTTTTTCAGTTCGTACAACTGTCTCTTTGATGCGAGGTCTTTAGGTGACCATCAGTGTTTAATTATTGTATATGAAGGATATTTCATATCTAATGACAACACCATGTAGTGAACGCTGATACCCTTAAACCTGTCTAATCACTATAGAGACAGTAATTCGATGTTACAACCTAGAAACATCAGGTTTAAAACCTGAGTATCATAATTGAATTACTAACTTTAATTACTAACTATTACCGTAGACAATGATAAATGTTTTCAACTTCAATTTTTCGAAATTAATTAGATGGATTCATTCATTAGGTACTTGGGAGTGAGCCATATATTAAGTATAAGATCTAGTAATAAAACAATCCGGTATTCGAAACCGAAGTAGGTGGAGAAGAGTTCGAACCCAAGATTCAGTAGCTGAAACTCGATCGCCTTAATCAACAGGTCACTGAGTTTTAAATTAAAGTAGCATGATTAACCGGTTACCACCTGATCAGGATTTATCTGACAATGAGACATGTACAAAATCATAATAACCAACTAATCTAAGAATTTTATTACAGTCTATGCTAATTATTTATTTTATTTTAACACATAAGATAGGTACAGGGAGGCACCAAATACATATGCGCCACACAAATCCCAATTGATTTGTGTGAGGGCTGTGATACTGCTCGGGTGCCCAAACCGAAGCAGGTGGTTTTCTTAGGGGGCCACACCCCGAGCCTTTGACCTGAACGTCTGACCCACAAGGCAGTGGAGCATCGTAAGGAGATGCAGTCCCATGGTAGCCGGTGACCAACGATTGGTTCATACGCCATTTGTTCCCGTAGGATACTGGAGCCCATGTGCACCATTGATTTGGGATCCGGTTAAAGCGCCGGAAATTCGCTTTTCGTCCTCTCATTTTCGTAAACAACACCCCCGCCACGAGAAGGCAGTGAGTAGGACTTCCCTGGCAGAGGCTATATACGCATGGCCATGTGAGAGCATTTCGAGAGGGAGAGCGGACTCTCCCCACTCTCGGCCGTACCAGGGCATTTGAGGGCCTATGCTAAACAACGGAGCGTCAAGGATTTAAAAACAGGTTAGGAAATATACTTATATCTTTCAAACAGAGGAAAATGATCTACCCAGACGATACAAAAAAGGACCTAGATTTTATTAATAAGATTCTGATTGAAGCAGACCAACCACTAAGATTTCAAAGAAGCACGTTTGCTAAGGAAACAAGAAGTTCAGTGTATGAACCGTTTATAATAAACCTTTTGTGTTAAACTGTTATCGAAAGGGATGTAGCTAACGATGTCCTAAATGATAGAGTATTGCGAAATATAATAAGACTTTCTACACGACTACTCTCACTTTATTTTTCTGTCAATCAGTAATGTCTATTCAAACAAAGGATATGTCACTTGATTTTTCCACTTGAATCTATATCTACAAATTCAGCGGCTCCTGAAGAGAAAGCTCTACTGGGTTTTCCATCAGGCAAATCAAGCAAAGAATGACTGAACATCTGCCTGGGTGATTTGAAGATGATAGTCGGATAAAGGCAATACGTAGCTACATTACGCTTGGTCGATAGTGGCGATGTGAGTGGTAAAAATAAATCATTCAGAGTGGTCTAAGACATATTGTCGCCCCTTAACGTGTAAGATCTCGTCTTTTATGTATACCAGAAGCCACAGGGATTCAGAACAGCAACCCGTCCATGTGTTCAGAAGAGATCTGTGATTCTTCTGTCCCTTCCTTAGACGGGAAACGCTTAACAAACGATTTTACATCATTTGTTAATTTGTTTTACGCCACATTTTCCGTAAATATCCTTCCATATTTAATTATCTTACAACTTATTAATTAGTTTTAGTAATATTTAATGACCGTTATTTAAGTGTCTACCTATCCAAGCTTTGAAACACTTAATATATTTAAACAGTGACTCAAACTTGTTATTCTTATCACCGCTAGAACGTTTGCCATCTTAGTATCAATTTGTACTGCTTATTTATTACGTCCAGTTACGCATACCATTTTGTTATAATTCATTCATAAAAGGTTTCGATTGACTTATTATTTTTTGCACATGGATATAGACGTTGCCGTATATTAAAGCTTGAAAAAATCATTGTAAACAATATTGTTCGCCTGTATATTATTCGCCGTCATATTGTCTGAGCTCTCAGTTTCAAAGCTTGATGTTAATTAACAGAAAATGATGGAACTGAGTTTTTAAAGTTTCCGAAAATATACTTCAAGTCTTTTCTGAATGTTAGAAAATTTCTGTACTAGTAGAAAAAGATGTAAATAACTTGCCGAATAACCTCAACCGTTGGTTTGTCGCCTTCATAGAAAGTCAAAGTACACGACTCTTCTAAGATATATTTAATGGAAAAGATCTAAGGATAGCTAGGTGACGGTATTTAATGATGGAACTGTTTCCACCTAGTTAAGATTTTTCTCACGTAAGAGTAGCTAGTGAAGTTCTCAGAACAGCAGGAATGTGACTGTAAACATTACATTAGACTAAATATGTGTAGTGATGAACTGACTTTCCCAAATATCATTTAAACATCTATCTCAAAAAGGTAGCTCCACCCGACATCCCATAAGTGGTCCATGCGATAATTAACCACCCAACCAGTAGGCTACCACCAAGTCAGGTGTGAATAGTGACTGGAAAAATGGGTGAGACTATTATTTATGGACGATATTTGGGCAACACTAAATTGACATTAAGTGCCCACCTAATAACTAGGACCGAATGGGGGTTATAAACCAGTGTGAGAAATTAAGACTATGATTTTTAGTTGATGGTCAAGTTTAAGAATTATATCCAGGGTGTTCATCACGATCTGACATAAGCAATAATGCCAAGACGCCAGTTAACCGAATGAGTGAATGAATTTCGCGCCGAAACATAAAACCTGTAATCATAAATCTGATCGGTTCGTCCATAAAATATAGTCTTGCCGAGAAACCAGGTGACAATATTTTGGAATAAAATGGGTCAGATCGTACGATGAAACTTGTGAATATAGGCTGTGATATACTAACTCGATCACGATACTCACCTGAAAAGCAATGGGCATCGGGCATTACAGCTCACAACACTAGCAGGACAATTGAGTAAATGAAATGACTTGTCCTCACGACATATTAAATGTGGACAACCGACTTCTTTGTTAATACATGGAACTATGGTTTTGGGGCATATTTGATCCACGTGGTCATCAACCTTGCACGAATGCATACGCATCCCACAACCATTTGGACAGTCAGTAACGAAGCATTCAATAGCATCGCACGTCAATGTAAGACAACCGGAACAGTGGCTGATACAAAAAGGAAGATCTGGCATTCAGAAAAGTTAATAAATCTACCTCGAGATTAAGAATCAGAAAGGAATGTGAAAATAAGACTCTTATATCAAAAACGTCCAAATGATATAGAATTTGTATGTACACGTATGGTATTGGAAAAAAAGTAGCTAATGTCGAAGATATCGTCAACAAATCAAATTAGTATGAAGTTTGAAATGAACGAATAGTTCAGTGAGAATTTATGATGCATCTATTTTTAATACTGACAGTAACTGACATTTATTTACTTCAAACGATGAAGTCCTCAAATGTCCTTGAATACACTTCATTTGAATAGGGGCGTGAAGGACAAAGCTCAATGTTCAAAATTCTTGTGAATACTTGTACCCCCTGGATTATTGGGATCATACTTATTTATGTGAGGTAGCCATTCAATACTTTAGATTTTTTACAGTAAAACTTGTTCGATCACTTAATTGAATCTGTTTTATCGACAAATAATTTGATTTTTGAATTTTTCTAATGGATGAATTCATTTATTGCTTTTTTCACTTTAATTAAGGAAGTTTGAGATATTTTAAATCAGAAGGTCGAAAATGCGTGTTAAATTCATTTTAACTTGTTCTTGTGTAAATCCATCTTTTTCTTGAACTAGCTGATCTATGGACATCACTTTTTCGGTCATATTACTCCAGTCTTCAGTCTGCAGTTCTAAAGATAGGAGGTCTATTGACCTATATTAATTCCTGCACTGTGGAGGTCCAATGTCATTTTGACTATATCAACAGAAGGTGCTGATATTACGTGTTCCGGTAGAAAATTCGATTAATTCACTACTCCATGAGAGAAACGAAACTCCAGACGTAAACGATTTGATCTCGGTTTTTGAATTTTTTCGAATGTCCTCTCAAATGATCAGTCCTAGACGGAAGTAAAAGATAAGACATGTTAATACCAAGGTCATCGTTCAGTATACGATAAGCCAATATTAGATCACCCCGTATTCGACGGAAATAATTTGAGGTGTCTCGGTCTGTCTTCATAAGATAGGCCAGATAGACCTTGTGCCATCTTAGGACCTCGTCGATGGACTCTTTACAACAAATCCGCTTCATACTTGAAATAAGGACTCGTTGCTTGAATGCCATATTCTAAATGTGGTCGCACGTAAATCGGGTATAATAATCTAAATATTTCATCGTTTAAATCCTGGAAAGACCTAAGAATAGTCCATAATTCCCCATAGCCTTTTGCAGCAGCAGCCTTACAGTGAATAGTGATTTTGAAATCACTGCTTAATATGACTCCCAAATCTTTATGGTTTCATACTTTGGGTAGTAAGAATCCACACATTATATAGTGATACGATTCATCATTGTCATTTGATTGCATCACCACTTTCTTATTAGGATTTACTTCTGGTGACCACCAGAAGTAGTTCTCACAAATATTAAGTTGTATTTGTTTTTAAGACCTAAAACAGCCTTTGAATGTTTTTAAAAATTTTTGCAGTAATACATTTAAGACGCCACATGTATTTGGAGTTTGACAACCCTTTAACCAGTAACACCTTCCAATATGAAGCGTACCCACCAAGTGAAATCAAAAGACAGGAGCGAGGCGATCGAAGATATATTAGATAAGCTATCAATATATCGAGGATCGTTTGGACTAATCTGGCTAGCGATTGTGACAGATGTTGATCACGGCGTTTCCACACGTGATCTGGTGCGGATGCTTGACCAAGCGCCTTCAGCTAGATGAGTCCACTAAAACTGTGATCAGCATCCAATGTCGAAAACTTACAGAACTATTTATTTTGTGAATTTTTTTACCGCTACAACTTAATTTATCATAGAATGATAAGATTACAGATATAATGGGTCTGGTAACACTATTGTGAGAAACCTCTTTGTGAATTATGATCTCAAAGTTAATAATACCAGAAGCCGGAAATGAAATGAATTTTCTTAAAATAAAATGACGAGTTACCTTATTTTATCTGGTCATGAAGTACACAAATGCGCTCTAGTACGGATGCTTGATAGGGCGTTATTACGTCCTTGATCAGTCTACCCACTTTTTGTGCCGAGGATACTTTCTAACTTAGATTTAGAATTTGACGCGATAGGCTGATCGGCTTGACCTTAAGACTAGTACGCGTGAGTTCAAGATGAGGTAGAGAGAATAAAACTAGGCGAGACTTTAATTTATGAACGACCTTTGAACGAATTAAATGACTTTGAGAATATTAGTCAATCAGCAAACAGTAAGCATTGAGTAAAAATAAATTACACGAAAGTGGATACACTTCTTATACATGGTTCAAAAACCTATCGGCCTCTGGAGCCATGATAAAGTTTCAAAAACTCTTTCTACCTCGAGCGCATAGCTTCAGTATTGTTTATGTGCACTCCAGTTGTTGTGTACACAAAATGCTACTTGTGGATAACGACACAATGCACATAAGCAAGCCTATGTAGGAGTCTGTACGGTCTCCAAACGTCCGTATATATTGTAGTACCTGGCTTCAGCCAGTGTTACTGGTGCTTTTATTATCCAGTTCGCGATAATTGTCATAAATTTCTTAGTTAGGAATTATATAGAAAGTTTTCATCACGAACTGACATCAGCTATAATGCCAGAAATCTATTTGGTCAAATAGATGAAAGACTTTCGCACCAAAATCCGAGACTTGTTGTCTTATACCTTATTGGTTTGTCCACAAATTATAGCCTCACCGATTTATTTGTCATAGTCGCTCAATTATCACGTTTTGTACAAAATTCCTTGTGAACCCGTTAGCACTAAGCACTGAGGTTTGCGCCGTGACCTGGAAATCTCTGATTGTCTCGTCCATAATTTAGAGTCTCGCTGAAAACTATTCTGTCACCTGGTTGGTGGACAAGCACGCGAATGAGAGAAGACAGGATTATTGGAACACAATTCGATTTATTCCCGATATTCTGATTTGTCTGATTTCCAGATAAGTGTAAAAGGGTACATGAATAAGTAGGTGAATAACCCGACGTCAAAGTACAATAATAAGGAAATATACAATTATGCTCAAAGCTGGAAATTACAGTAGAAAATAGGGTGCAAAATATTATGTTTAAATTACAGTAGCTTCGGAACAGAAAAAAGTATGGCAGTGAATGATACATCGAACGAAAGCCTATGTCCTGTAGAATAGATAAGGGACAAAAATAAATGTTAGTGTTTTACAAGCTTTGAATAAAATGAACTAACGTCCCGAAAGATAGCTTTAGTAGTTTGTCAGGGCTTCTTGTTTCCCTGATCATATCAGGTGTCTTCGCCTGAGGGTTATCCCGAAGAACAAATGAGGTCACCATCAGTTTTGAAGACTTTCAGAGTTCTTTGTTTTAAGTATTTATTCACCATTACTGTATTTTATTGATTCTGTTAAATGGACCCGTGATCCGTAAATCATGCGCCAATGGTGATGTACAATAACTTAGCGACAACCAGTAAACTATTATTACAGGAGTTATATAAATCCGACGTTAATGTTACAACTCGATGTGTAAGTTAACCGGTTTCTTAATATACTTAGGATTTACAGATTCTGAAGGCACATTTATTCCGAATCATTTGGTAGAATAATAGTGCATTACCTGGACCAAGACTGATAGCCACCTCCGAGAGTCTTTCTATTGTTAAAGCAAGCCCAGATTTTGTAGCCAGTATTAAATTCGGAATTTTTATTTTGGTCCTTGCTTGAAGGAGGGTTGATTAGCAAACTCCCGACTTTTACCCAAACAACTAGCAAGCGAAAACTAGGACTCCACATGGTATTATTTCACACTTTATTTTCGAGTTATCAATTTGCAGTTCCTAGTTGCAACAATTATTTCTAGATAACTTCTAATTTTTAGGTTTTTAAGGCAAAAGTGAAAAATATCAAAGAGCGAGACTGACATCAGAAAAACAAGTCGAAAAATATGAACACACAATTCAAGGTCTGGATAGAACCGGTAAAAAAGAATCATATTTACAATTGATTTACAGTAAGTTAAATTCTTCAAGTGTACTGTGTTCTCTTACTGAAGAATCTATTACTAAAAATCTGTTTTAGGGAATGACCTTTTAGAGCGCTCTAACTCGGCAACTTCTAGAATAGCTTCAAGGACTTTTATGCACATTGTTTTATGAAAGCGCATAAAAATCCAGCAATTTATAACTTTCGTGTGAGGGTGAAGCCATATTTACTATCAAAGGCGGAGTTAACATTTTCATTGCATTTGCTCTTGTATATTCATTATATTGAATGAAATTAGCATCACTCCCTTCACTCAATATTCTAGTTTTTAGTCATTTCCTTGCTATTATTTAGCTCCTTACCGATTGACTTGATTTCATTTTACTTGATTGCCGGATCTCGGTGGTTATCATATTAAATGTTCGCTTTCTTGATTAATGCTATATGACTGATAGATTTGACTAAACCTGGAGTACAGAAATCTCATCTTCAGTTTATCATAAACGTATATCGCTGACATAAGATTTGATCGCTAATCACTCGGGTGGAACGAACTTATATATTTATCTTAGATAGAAATACATTTATTGAGTTGTAGAATATAGCGTTTGTTAGAGAAATTCTAAGTTCGCACAACTGAATACTGAATGAAGAATGTATGATCTTACAGAGTATTTGTTTGCTAAACGCACTAGTCTCATTCTATTTGTAAAATTTATTTGTACCTCTAATTCTATTTACTTTAGTCAGATAATATAAAATAATGGATTCGAAAAACGTGATTAGTTTTTTGAACTGTCTGATTCGATATTCTGTGGCTGAAACGTTTTTTTCGAAATATATCTTGCATTCAGGTAGAGCGACCATTTACCTGTTGAATATTATGTTTGCAACGCGATATACTGAGGAATGCTTCATATAAGAGATGAAAATGTTGACACAGAAATAATGCTCTTGAAGAATAAATTCATAGCTAAGATATTTTTTGCTTATTTCATAGTACTTGCTACTATGTACATGCAACAGAAAAATTACAGCGATTTCGAGCCAGGTCTAAGAATGTCTGTTTATGCTGCTTCAACGTCCTAATATTGTGTATATTTTGTATACGGACACACTCCATAACTTTTCCTGGTGTCAGCATAGTTTATAAAATCTTGTGTTTGTCGTGGCATTATGGCTGAGAAATTGGAAGCATGGAATGTCGTACGTCTGGTTGGCTGCTTAATAAGCAATGGTCATTACTTAAAGGATGCAGTTGCTTACACATATAAAAACCAATCCACAGAATGTTGAAAAAAGTCTTACCTTAGTCAAAGCTAGGACAAGC